TTTTCCGACAGTGCCTCTGTGGCTTTTTCGAGGTCATTCTCCTCCTGCATCAAACTTGGTCTCAGTCTAACGCCTCCGTGAATGCTACTTGGAGCATCTCCATAGGTCTTGGCGTGCTGGTGATGAGCAGCGAGTGTACGTTTGTGCCTGTGGAGATGTTAGAGGTTTGAATGGCCATTCCCCTTCACAAGGAATGACATTCGGGTAATTCCAAGAAGCTCCGTTACCCTGTGCGCGGCGCCGGCTGGGAAGTTGCTTGGGGTGGTTCGTTGCCAAACAGGCTCGTGACCTGAACAGACGTAAGCATAGACTGCCAGTGGGATGCAGTTTACATAAATGCATCTTTTATTGTTATAATGGAATTCTGCTGGAATTCTAGCTTGTGACTGTTTGTTTTATAGAATGTCATCCCGCTTTGGAACGGGCACTTGCTGGAGCTGGGGAGCAATAACTACTGGAATTTCCTATCAGCAGCAGTAGATAGATAATCCTTACTCCAGACTAGCTGCTTCTAGGAGTCCTTCTCAGGTACTGGTGCTCATGCAGCCTTTGCCCCCTCCCCATGGTTATCCCCTACAATTAACTACGTGGATGCTTCTTCAGCCTCTGTTTCTCTGGAGGCAAAAGTAGTTTGCTTTCATGGCAAATCTTTCCGTTACGGGTGAGGTGTTCTATTATAAAAACATGTATGTAAGCTAGCCCTTGTTGGGATGGAAGAACACTTACATTGGTAAAAGGCTTTGAAGGTTCAGGGAAAATGAAATCACAGGAGCAAGGCCCGGCATCCAGCTTTGGACTCCCCAGCTTGGCAAAAGAGGTGTGGATAGGGATGCGACAGTGGCCTCCAGGATTTATTGTCTTACTAAGGACTGGTTGTAAACACTGGTGTTTGAGCAGAGAAAAGGATGGTAAAGGTTTCTTTTGGAGGATTTGCGGGTTTCAGAGAGAGAAGTCAGGATTTGCCCATTCTGTAGGTTAATTCTGCTCATTTTTTCCAAAGTTAGTTCTGCAAGCTGTCTGTGGCCATACAAAGTGAATTGGTTATTACAGTTCTGTTACCTCTGGACCACAGCTGTGTCATTATATGCTCCTATAATTGATATATGAACGCCTGACTTGAACAGTAAAAGTTCATCTTTTCATTCCGTGATTTTCATGTTGTGGGCTGTGTTTAGTGTAATTAGGTAGATCATAGGGCTCCTCCTTGAATTTTCTGTCCATTAAGTTGACTTCTGCCTTCAGGACTCCCATTCCAACTGCTCCTCCAACTAAACGTGGTACCAACCCGTAAGTAGGTTAGCACCTGCAAGGTTTGTGAGCAAAAATAAATTCAAAAGCCTTCAGAGCTCAGAATAAATAATACGGCAAAATTTGTGTTGTTTGACAAAGGCAAAGCAACCCTTCTTCACGCCTTCGAAACGCGGTTCGTAGCGAGCGACGGGGACGGTTCTGTGCCGGGAGCCGCGGGAGCGACTCGAGCGGCCCCAGCCAGTCCCTGCCCGCGCCTGCGGCGAGCCGAGGGGCGCAGGGCTTTCCAGAAAAAAAAAACCAGACCCCTCCGGCTGAAGCGCGGGCGGGAGGAGCGCGGAGGCCGCGCGGGGGCTGCGCAGCTGCTGCGCGATGCCAGCCTGGGTGTTTCCTGGCAAGTGTTGGAGCTGCGGAGGGCTGTGTTTCTTGTTACTTGGTTTGGTAGAACGTTAGCAGGTGACGGGACAGGCTCTTTTGCTGACGACTGGAGCAGCTGTAGCTGTCGTTCTTGTGCCATCACCCTCCGGGGTCTGGAAGAACATGAGGTGCCGTCTCTTTCCATAGGCCGGAGTTACGGGATGACCTGCTATTGCAGTGCAAAAGTTCACAGTCTTACGTGATTTAGCTCTGCAGAGAGAGGAGGACAAGCATGTTCCTTGCAAGAGGTGTTTCCTTGCAAGTGGCATTTTTGAATACCTTTTATTTATTTGGTTTTAATGTCATTACGTATCTCTCTTGTCTGATTTTGATGTTACAGTAAGTAACACCAGAGCCTAACTCCTAGGCTCTGCACTTGCAATTTAAGCTTTTTGGTGTTCGGATGGCTTTCCCCAACATCCATAACCAAGTCTTCTAGGCTCCAGAATCGGCCTCCCTGCACAATTCATGGCAGGAGGAAATTGGGGACTAATTGCATCAAATAATTCAATGCAGAATATCACTAATTTTTTTAAAGAAGGTGGGTTTTTTTGTAACTCTGCAATAAACAAAGTCGTACCCGCCATTCAGGCTGTCACATCACATGTGGGGAGTCTGAGTATCCCATCTTTTGAAGACAGAAATTAATTTATTTTAAAATGTATTCTAAAGATGCAGTTCAGAGACTACTGAAATCAGCTGGTACTTGAATGGAGAATTCAAATTACCAGGATTTTGGAAAGGAATGCGTTGCTATATACTGGACTTGTGAACTTTGTTAATACTTAAAACTGCTGAAAAACTGCTCAGGCAATGAATCAGGTTTTAATCCTTCAAAGAATATCCATGAAAATATTAGTGTATGTTAACGCATATATAATTGTAGGTAGATTGGAAGTCAAAGTAATGAAATGTTTCAGCAACACATGGTGCTGCTGAAGCGGGATGTGCAGCCTTCTAAAGCTCTCTCATTTCTGCAGCTCCTCGTTTTTTCAGCTCAGCAGCCACCGGGTACTTGCAGGGTCCCGATGTTTCGCGCTGGTACTTGGCACGGTGTCGGGGAGCCCGTCGCTGTTTTTCCGCTTGCTCACGCGCGCAGGGAGCCGTGAAGGGCCCTGGTGCCGTTGGCGGTGACCAAAGCTTCGCCCGGGAGAAGCATTTGCTCTGTCAGAAACGGGTCGTCTCAGCCGGGTCGGGCGGCACCGAGCGCGGGCGCGGAGGAGGGGGAAGCTGCAGGCTGGTGGGGCGGCGTGTCCCGCGCGGGGTGTCAGTGCGGAGCTGCTGCCCCTCGCTGCTCAGCAGTACTGTCTGGCCCTAGGACTGAGCTTTGCTGTCATTTTTCTCTGCTTAAACGTGCTTTAGTTGGTGTATTTCTTCCTTCAGTGAAATGTAGGTTGCCTTTCTTTAAGTTAAAGATTAAAAGCATTCCTCTGCTTTGTGTGCACAAAGCATT